AATCATCAATTTATAGTGATCATCAATAAGCCTCAAAATATCTAGCAATACTTTATTAAAGAAAGATTTTGAAACTATCTAAAATAGAAATTAAAAGTAAGTTTCTTAAATATTTAGTACCTGTTGATCTTATTTAAGACAAGGCTCAATCAATTCTGGCTAAGCTTAGTCAAAAAGAAAAAAATTCTATAGAAGAAACAAATAAATTAGTAGTTTATCTGCTAAACTTTATGTATAAAAATACATTCAAGAGAATTTAAGATTGGTTGTAAAAGGTAAAGACAGTCTAAAGCCATAATAAATCTTGATTATAGATAAAGCCTTATGGTTTTTTTATCAAGAAAAATAGCAAATGCCGTTTAAAAAGGAAAAAAAGATATAATTTTAAAGGAAATGGACCTAAGGACCATTCTTGAAGAGTTACGAAATTTAATTTTAAAATTTATTAGATAACTACCCATTTGATAGTAGCTGTATATTTTCTTTAAGGTCCTTTAGGAATAATTGCTGAAAATAAATTACTGATAAAAATTAATCAGATTCTATAACATGAAATAAATTCTTAGTCTTAGGGATCTAAGATAAATTGAATATCTCTTATGGGCTTTCAAAAAGGAAAACATTTATCCAAAAAACGAGCTTTTCATTTAAGGATTATAATCAGAGAAGGAGCTAAAATGAAAGCTCTAAGTATTTAGAAATCAAATATCAGAGTTGAACAAAGAAAATAATTCTAAGTTTTTTCTAAAATATTCTGATGATGAGTTATTAGACTAACTCTCAATTTATTCAATTATTTCAATTAGATCTGACAAATAATATTAGATGGATGATAAGTAAAATATTGATCATTGGGATGAAGTCAAAGTTATTCCATAAGAAATTGAAAAATAGAAGTCATGTGAAAGGATAAAAATAAATTATTTCTTAAATCTAAAAGCCAAAATTTAGATCATTTTTGAAAGATAATATTCTTGGTTATAATTTGATCAAAATTGATTTGATTATTATAGGATTCATTAAATAAACTTAAATATTTTCAAATAGATTAAATTATATTGAATTAGTTTAGTTTCATGTGAAAATAATAAATATATATTATCATTTGATAAAGAATGAATAAAATTAAGAGAAGTATTTAGATGTTGTTATACTTTACAGGAAAAATTCCAACTATAAAAAAAGTAAATTCAGAGTAAATATTTGAGATCTTCATACTCTTAAGCCTAGATTTGTTTAAAATACTTAATAAAATGAAATAAAATATTTTATTAAACATATGGTTAAATCACAAAAAATGCTAAAATAGAAAGTTTTTTGATAATTTAGATAAAAAATTTTTGATTTATGAAATAGATGCTAAATTATCTTTATTATTTTATCTTTCTTATTTGATACTCTAGATAATTCTTTTATTAATTCTTATAATCATTAAAATGGTTCAAATTAAATTATTTTATCTAGGCATATTTAAATTAAAAAGAAGATAAATTAGGCTCAAATCTATTTTTGTCTTAGAAGGAATTTATTAAATGAGTAATGATCATGAGTTGAATTGTTCTAATTTAAAATTAATCCTTTTTGATCAAATTGAATTATTCTAAATCAAATAGCAAAACTATGAGCAATATAATAAGCACAATTATTCTGTTCCTTAATATAGACTACTTTTTTTGGTATTTTTTTAATCTGAAAACTGGTAACTTGAAAGATTATCTTATCAAACTAGACTTTCTTTATCAAATAACAAGTATGTTGTAAGTTTTTAAGTCAATATTATGTTAGTTAATAAAGAAATTGAATTAAATCAAAACTAATTCTTATATATTGTAATATTAATTTTAATAGAAATAGAGAATGCAGAACACATAAATATAGCTGATCATCTAAATCAATTAAAAATATGGTAATGAATAGATATTATAGACCATAAATTTAAGATCATAATGTCATTTTTGCTTGACTCCATTGCAAAAATATTAACCTTTTTAGATCCTTTAGATAAATCGATTTACAAGAATTCTTTAGGGTTCATAATGTTTAAAAGAACTCTTAAGAGTACAAACTTGCCCTTGATAGTCTAATAAATTAGTTACTTACTTATTCTAATTTTTATATTAATTAGATTTCTTACAGAACTATAAAAAATTATTTAGAAATAAACAAAAATTATTTATCAGCTTAAAAACTTGATAAATATTGGGTTCTAAATATTATATATATATTCCTAATATTAAATGAAATTATCATTATTATATTGAATAATCTTTAGAATTTACTTAGAATCCTTGTAAATGGTTAAAATAATATTTTCTTTCTTATTCAATCTTTTCCTTTTCTTTCTTTTACAAATAATTTTGATATATTTTCATAATTTATTATAGTATGTCTATTAATAAATTAGAAGCCAAAATAGTACAAAACATTCCAATATGGATCCACCCAACCATTATATCAATTTATTAACTTAATTCAAAACTATAAAATAAAAATGATCCGGTTATTATCAAAAATAACAATTCTCGGCATATTAATTTTGAAAGTTCAAAAACTGATTTCAAGGGCTTGAATTTAATCAAATATATTAAAAATAAGAATGATTGCATTGATAGTAAAATAGATTATGCTTCTGGATAGTTGATTAATTTTACAATAATTAAAATATAAAGTAAGACTTTGTAAATTTAAAAAGGCTTAAATTATAAGGCCCAAAATGATGCTTAAGATTCAAAATAAAAGTACTTCCATCTTCTTTCGTTTTTTATTTTAGATGAAGTAATTGAAAGTAATGGAAAAGTAGCTATTAAAATAAACAATAATCCAATAATAGCATTGATACTGTTGAAAATTTCAAATGGAGAATCAAAATTATAATTTGGAAATTATAATATAGCACTGAACATAAATTAATGTAGTATTGCTTAATATACTTTAAAAATTCCTAAAGAAAAGTATTCAATTTTTTAAATTAAGCATTTCTTTTGAATTTATTTTTGAAATAAATGAATCATTTTTATAATTTTCGAATTTTTTCTAAATTTATTTTCAAGTTTGAAAATGATAATTTATAATTATTTTGATACTAATATGCAATAGATAAAGTAACTTAATATAGATGCTATTACTGAAAAATAGCAACTTTTAGCATTGAATATATAAAGTTGATTTAAAATATTGTTTGGATCTTGATTCAAATTGGTTTTCACTTAATTTTTATTACTTCCTCCATTTAACTTAGTCAATAACTAATCTATCTAAAAATAATTTAAAATTGGTTGCAATGAGACTTTAGTGTAGGTGTTTAAGAATTCTTATAAATGTGGTGGAAATTAATATTTCATAAACCTAATATAAGATAATGACTATAATAAATCTAATAGATTAAAAAACATAATTGCATTTCCTGTTAACAAAGCCAAACTTGATATGCTAGCCATAGAATACATCATTGCATCATTCAATTTAACAAACTAAACTAATTATTTTTTAGTAGTTTCGGGTAACACAAAAGGAGTACCAAGTTTAATTTTCATTTAATTTTTCTATAAGTCTAATTAAAATTAATTGTGTATAGTATTTCTCTCCACATCGACTTATAGAACAGGATCTTATATGGATTCTATAAATTCAATTATAATTTAATATTTAGGTGAGTTTAAGTTTGTAGTTATATTTTAGATACTAACGATTGTTAATACATATTGAGTTTAAGGAGTAATAGTAAATACAATAATTTCTTCAAGTTATAATTCTTCCTTTAATTAAACTTGTTAAGTGAAAGTTAATTCTACTGTTTGAGTGGAATTAGATTTATCTGAAATAATATTCAAATTAAAGTTTGGAGCTTGCATAAATGTACATAAACTTAATGAACCTTATTAACTATCACAATGATATTAATCTTCAATACTACAAAAAGAAGAGCATCCATCTCCTCCAAAATGATTACCATCATCACATGCTTCATATTAACTATTTAATAATCCATTTCCACATTAATTAACACATTTATAATCAATAAGTAAGTAATTTTCTCCACATCTAAAATTAGATAATTAAACCAACAACATTTTATTCAAATCCATATCATGATCATCATCATTGATTTATTTTTGAATGCATTTTTCTGTTTAAATATCCAATACATATAAATTATCTTAGCATCTCTGACACTTATCTTATTAACATTCAACACAACCATCTGAACATTAAACCTAGCATTAATAACATCCATCATTTTCTACATCGTTTCCGTCATCGCATTCTTCCAAACCCTCAATAATAAATCCATCTCCACAAACAGGATGACAACGATGTTCAGATAAAGACCAGCCTTCAATTTCACAGGCATAGCATACTCCTTATTAACAATCTGTACATTCAACTTAACATTCAAATTAGCATTCGAAGCAACCATCAAATTCAATTAAATTTCCATCATCACACTTTTCGTCTCCTGCAACAATCCCGTCTCCACAGAAAGCTATGCATTAATTTTCATATAATTCCCAACCATACGTATCGCATTCTAAGCAAACTCCATTTAAACAATCTGTGCATCCAACTTAACATTCAAATTAGCATTCATAGCATCCATCAAATTAAATTAAATTTCCATCATCACATTATTCATTTCCTACAATAATACCATCCCCACAAAAAGATATACATTAATTTTCATTTAATTGCCAACCATATGTATCGCATTCTAAACAAACTCCTTATTAGCATNTCATCGCATTCTTCATTATCTACTACAATTAGATCTCCACAAAAAGAAATGCATTTGTATTCAAATAAATACCAACCATCATTACCACATTCTAAGCATATTCCAATTAAACATTTAGTACATTATTACTATAAACATCTTAATTCACACTAATGACATCCATCAAATTCGATTTCGTTACCATCATCACATTGTTCTTTTCCAACAATTATGCCATCCCCACAATTAGATCTACAAACTCCAGATACTATATCAATTTCCCATCCTATTCCTTCACATTCTTAACACTATCCTTAATAACAACTCAAACATTCTTTCTGACACTATTTTTAACAATTTATACATCCATTATCAACTCCATCATCACATTACTCATCTTTAGCAACTAATCCATCGCCACATTTGCTAACGCAAGAATTCACTCCTTGATTCAAATAAAATCCAAATTCGCATATATAACAAATATCCATTTGACAGTCAATACAATTTTAATCACAAGAATATTGGGATAAGTAGCATCCATCATAAGGAATCTCATTCCAATCATCGCATTGTTCGTTTCCTACTACTAATTTATCTCCATTAATTGGATGACAATTCTTTTAAATTGTGTTCAAAACCCATCCTTTATTACATTAATAACACTCTCCTTTGTAGCAAGTAGAGCAAGAATCTTAACATATTTATTGACATTAAAAACAAAATTGTTTATTTAACAGTTCATTAAACTCTTATTAAATTTTGTCATCGCATTACTCCAATTAAATAGCCACTATACCATCACCACAAATAGGTTAGCAAATGTTTTTATCAAGATACCAACCATTTAGTTCATCACATTTTATGCATTTATTAAATTAGCAATCAATGCAATGATTTGGACATGAAAATTTACAATTATAACATCCTTCGTTTGGAGTTTAGTTATTGTCTTCACATTCCTCTGTTTTCACTAAAAGATTATCACCACAAATGGCAACACATTGATTATCCGCAATCTAGAAGCCTTTTTGGCAATCGAAACAAATTCCCCAAAAGCATTCTTTGCAAGTCTCATCACAACCAAATTTACAATCATTACATCCATCATATGGATTAGAATTACCATCATCACAATCTTCTCCATCAACAATTAAAAGATCTCCACACACAGGAAGACAAATTACATTTATTCCGTCATCATAGAACCCAGACTAACATAAACATTAATTGTTGGATAAAATCCTATGAAAATCAGAAACACAGGTTTGACAATTAGTTATCAAAGCTCCTGTACATGTTTCACAATATTTATGACATTATAATGATGGACTTGGAGGTGAAGGAGGATTAATTGGTAAGCAAACTCCATTTATTAAAGTATTATATTAACTTGAAGAATCACAGGAAGTGCATTCTTCCAAATTTTTACAAGTTAAACATCCAGGTTAATTACATGTAATACAATTATAAGTTTCTGAAATAGAATCAAATTATAGAAACTAATTAACATCGCAATTTTCATTTAAATGTCCAGATTCCCAAGTAACACAAGAAACCCCATCATTGCAATCTTGACAAAATGGGAGACACTTAATATTAAATGAAAATATTTACATAGTGAACAACAATAAAGTAATCAGAAATTGCGCAAAATTAGTCTCTTGGATCTACAGTTGTATCTGTACATTGAAACTCAATATTTAATGGAGACGATGTGAATGGATTCTGGAAAATTTCAAAATATTAAGTTATTTCATTTAAACTCATACCAATAATGTTTTAACCACTTGTTGATGGTTTGGGATGAGCAACTGATTTTACTCCTTAAATGGTATAATAAAAATTTCCAGCATATTAATCTCCATATATGACGTTAAATCTTATTGTAACAGCATAGTGTGGTTTGGATATACTCCATGATTTTTTATATATTGCATTATTCCATACCATTACACCCCCTAAAACAAATTTAGTTGGAAAAATTGAAAAGTTTTATCCCGTCAAGAAATTACTACCAGTTGGAACAGTTTCATCTAAGTATTTGCTTATATCTGATGTACTCATATTTAAATTATAAAATCCTTATGCTAAGTAGCGAGAGTCTGAAAATAAATTATTTTAAATTACTTGGTATCATATCTGCATAATCAACGCAATTAGCAGAATGCACTGGACAAGCACTGACACAACCATTTTAAAATAGCACATAATCTGTGTTACATTGTTAACAAGTTGAAAAATCTGCACATACTGCACAATTTTCCTTACAATTACCACTATCAATTGTTATATTTCTGAAACCCCATGTCGAAGTTGCCAAAGTTAACTATGCTCCTTTTAAAATAAGTTTAGGAGTATTAGAGTAAGTTCGAAGAATTGCCTCTATCCTTATTAAATCATAAGTATTTGTGCATGTGATACTTGAACTATAAATTGTTGTTATTTTATCAAAAGTGTAACTAGATGAGTCTTTGATTATTTATCCTTATATTTAGTCATCTAATATTATTTATATTTTATTATCAGTTTAAAAATCTTTTAAGTAAAATGTAATCCTTAGTCTAATAAATTTTAAGGATTAGGAAGTTGCCAATTATAAACTCATTCCCTCACTATAAAGCAAATTTCCTACATAGCTAGTAGATGAACAAGTGAAAATTATAGATGGAGAACTTCTTGAATTTGCAGAATCTTGAACAAACTAAAAAGGAGAATAAGCACTAATAGTTGTAGATTCAAAATATGAAACAAGTGATTTAATTCTTCTATCTGGAACACAAATATTATCTGATCTTGCTATAAAGTAATCTCTTTAACATTCTTATCGGCATCCAATTCCAGTTTAAGCAAATTAATGAGAAGGGTCACAAGTACAAGATCCATCTGTTTATAAACTACCATAATAACATGTTAGACAACTAATAGAACTTGAACAAGTTTTGCAAGTTGGTAAACAATATTTGACGTAGACTAATAAATTTCGAATGCCTAGAATTTAATAATCTTCTTAACTTTGAATCCCTATTGATATGTTAAATATATCTTTATATAAAGCAGGAGATGTA